CAAGGTTCCTCACAGTGTTACTGGAGGCCAAGGTAATGCCATCCAGAGTAAGAATCTGGTTAGATACCATATTTCTAAGATTTTCAGGGCCGAGTACAATAACCTCAGTTTGATCTGAATTAAGAAGCAGAAACTTAGCGGCCATCCAGGTCTTTATGTCTTTAAGACATTCCTGCAGTTTAACTAATAGGGGTGTGTTATCTGGCTTCATGGACAGAGTTGGGTATCATCAGCATAGCAGTGAAAATGTATGCTATGTACAGTACCTGGTACAAGTGATTCCAAAAACTGTACAGTTTTGATTACTGGTTGAACCTCTATCTATCTGTTTAACTTTTCATTAATACTGAGTCAGGTTAAACTTTATTAATCCCAAACTGTCAAAAATCCTGTGTTCCTTAAATTTAAGATAAAAACAAACTCATTCGAATACCTCTGTAAAGTTCATACTCCAATTATTGGTCACCTCAGAGAGATGAGGTCATGTGGTCAGGTTTGTTTGGAGTCTGACCTTCTTCCTGTTTGTGTCTAAAGTTTGATTCAATCTTAATGTTAACAGAAGGCTTGATGATAATTCATGATAATAAGTCTGTTGATTAAAAAAAATAACCTCACTGATGAGGACATCAAAAAATGAAACTTAAATATCTTTTTTTTCTTCATTCAGAATGACAAATTGCAGATTGTCAGAGGTCAGCTGTGATTACCTGAATTCAGCTCTGAAGTCCAACCCCTCCCATCTGAGAGAGCTGGACCTGAGCAGCAACTACGACCTGCAGGATTCAGGACTGAAGCAGTTGTGTGTTTTTTTGGAGAGTCCACACTGTATACTGGAGACTTTAAGGTCAGCACCATGTTTTAGTTGTGCTGAGATAAACATGTGAAGAAGAAGAAGTCCAAATTAAGTTTGTTTCAAAGCTGAATATCTGAGCTTCAATGAGGTTTGAATTTCAGTGTGTGTTTATGGGTCTTTAACATAATTTAATGGATTCTCATAAATTTAGTATTTGTAATTCAGATAATTCTTGGAAAGAATTACTGCAGTCTAAGAATGGCCAGAAACTGCAGGTTTCTTTCTGCATCTTATTTCTAACTTTAATTCAAATCTTCATTAGCTCACTTTCACTTGACACTATACACAGTACAATTGTGCATCATTTAATTTAATACAGTGGTACTGTGTCATGTTTAACCGCCAATCAGAGCCAAGGATCAGACACTGACAGCCGCTGACAGGTTTAACAGGTTTCTTGAACAGGTAGACAGTCCTCTGCTTGTTCTCCATGCGCCAATTCTTATCTACCAATCTGAGAAACACAGCCTTTATCTATTTCCAGGCACAATGCCAGTGTCGCAGATGGTGTTGCAGCAGATGGGACCACTTCACCATCTTGACTGGAAATTACAGTCAAGATGGTAATTTAAAGAAACTTCAAATGTAAATAAACTGTTAGCAGAAGAGCTGAGGGTGTTGTGTGCATACTCAATCCAAGTTAGATGGGAGCTCAAGGTGACTGAGTTTGAAGATACTTCACATCGTAAGACTGTTTCTAAGTACTGGTTTGGCCAGGACTCACTCCAACAATTTATTTACCAGGATGCAAACCTGACGTTAAGCTCGCCTTTGCCCCTAAAGCTTCACATGTCAAACACAGTAAGAGAAGCTGAAACACAGATGTGAGGAGCAGATGTTCATCAGATTATGATGTCACTCTATTTTATCTTCATATACATTCAGTCTTGTGTTTCTAATGCAGATTTTCTGCTGTTATAAAAACACATTTTATATTTTCTCTAACCACAGACTGGCTGGTTGTGGACTCTCAGAAGCTCACTGTGACAATGTGGCCTCAGCTCTGAAGTCCAAATCCTCCCATCTGACAGAGCTGGACATGAGTTACAATAAGCTGCATGATTCTGGAGTGAAGTGTTTGTCTGCTGGACTGGAGAGTCCAAACTGTCGACTGGGGACTCTGAGGTCAGTTCACTGACTGGTTTTTACTATATTTCAAATCTTTATGTTTGAAACTTTTTTTTACATGTTTTATTCTTAAATTGACTTGGCTGTCTCTGACCACTACTGTGTGTTTTTTAACATCACCGGTTTTATTCAGCGGGAGACCTCGGTGCAAACTGTGAGGAGGCGCTATCTAACCTCTGAAGTGGCTGCAAATTTTACCAGGGTTTTAGACGAATGCCACCCTGTGATTTTACCTGCACCCTGTGATTTGATTTTTAATCATTTTAACAGCAAACTGAAGAAAAGCCTTGACTCCGTTGCTCCACTCACCACCAAAAAGATTAATGTAAAACATGCATAACCCTGGAGAAACGAAGAAGTCAAAAAACTCAAAAGAAATTGCAGGGCAGCAAAAAGGAGATGGAGGAAAAATAAAAATGCAACTTAAAATGTACAATAATACATTAAGGAATTCAAGAAATTCATACTTCGCCAAAATAATCAATAATAACAAAAATAATCCCAAGGTCCTCTTTTCCACCATAGATCATTTATTTAACCCTGATTTTAACAGCTCCCAAAGAACCCCCACAGACTCACTCTGTGAGCAGTTTGCAGACCACTTCAGGGGAAAGATCAGCGCCATCAGATCTGATATTTTATCTAATCCCGATATGATTTTAAACACATCTGAGGGCTCGATTGTACCTGAGGAGACACTGGACAGCTTTGTCCTGGTTAATGCTGAGAACCTTCAGAAAGTTCTCTCCACAGTGAGACCCACCACATGTCTTTTAGATCCAATCCCCTCTTCACTCTTTAAAACACTTTATGGATTTTTTGAAGCTGAGCTTTTATACATGATGAATTGCTCTCTTCAGTTGGGTGTCTTCCCTGCTGCCTTTAAAACTGC